GGTTCTGTGGGTTGCAGTCTGATTGTTCTTTGCTTTATATCTAGTATCCCCTTATGAGTGAGTATTATTCTTAAAAAAAAAAAAATTAAGCTGGGTGGTGGTGGCCTTTAATCTCAGCACTTGGGAGGCAGAGCCAGGCGGATCTCTGTGAGTTCGAGGCCAGCCTGGTCTACAGAGCGAGATCCAGGACAGGCACCAAAACAACACAGAGAAACCCTGTCTTGAAAAACACCCCCCCCCCAAAAAAAAAGAAAAAAAGAAAAAAAAAGAAAACACTAATAAAAGGAATTGTGAGAAATAAGGGATCCAAGACTTTTCAAAATTTTTCCTTTATTTTATTTTATTTTTTGGTTTTTTGAGACAAGGTTTCTCTGTGTAGCCCCGGCTCTCAAGGAGCTCACTTTGTAGACCAAGCTGGCCTTGAACTCACAGAGATCTGCCTGCCTCTGCCTCCCAAGTGTTGGGATTAAAGGCATCCGCAACCATCACCTTTTATTTTTTAAATTTATGTTAATTTATAAATTTATTTGAATGTTACACACATAGACATAGACACAGCAATGCACATACAGTTCATGTTCATGCAGTGTCTGCAGAGACCAGAAGAGGGCACTGGGTCCCTTGGTACTGGAGTTATAGACAGTTGTGAGCTGCCATCTATGCTGGGAATCGAACTTGGGTCCTTTGGAATTCTTCTTAGCCAGTAAACCAACTTTCCCCCAGGATCCAAAGCTCTTGATCCTTTAGGAGATTTGACATTTTTCCTGGGTTTTATTTCATTAGATCCAAGCATCCCAATTCGTCCCTATGACTGTCCACGCTCGTGGATACTAGTGGTAGAGAGAAATCCTGAAGGCCATGCTCAGTGGTACCTAATCACCACACAGAGTCAATGAAGAACAGGAATTAGATTTTTTTTTTACTCTTTAATCCTAGGAGAGTTTTGGTGATGGAAACAGACACCATTTAGTTCAAACGGCTAATTTTCTAGATAAGGAAATTGAGATGTAAAGAAGGAAGGGGTGTATGTATCATTGGGTCTGTTAGTGAAGGAACAGGACCAGAGAGTAGGATCCCAATTCCGTCAGTGTCTGTGCCCACTCCTTCTGTGTGTGTGTGTGTGTGTGTGTGTGTGTGTGTGTGTGTGTGTGTGTGTGTGATAATGCGACTAGTAAGGGTTTGTCTACCTCCTCCTTTCCCTGTGTCCACATTTGTCATGCTTCTCTTCTGACAGCTGTTGACAAGTGTGCCCTCGGCACTCACGGGTGTGAACAGATCTGTGTGAATGACAGAAATGGCTCCTACCACTGCGAGTGCTACGAAGGTTACACCTTGAACGCAGACAGGACAACTTGTGCAGGTGAGTGGGTTGTGTTCCACTTTTGCCACCCCGGGGGATTTTCTCTTTTTTCTTTTCTTTTCTTTTCTTTTCTTTTCTTTTCTTTTCTTTTCTTTTCTTTTCTTTTCTTTTCTTTTCTTTTCTTTTCTTTT